CTCCCCCCAGTTTAGTATCATCAGCAAACTTGCTGAGGGCGCACTCTGTCCCTTCCTCCAGGTCATTGATGAATACATTGAACAAGACTGGACCTAGGACCACTACCTACAGGCCTCCAACTAGACTCTGTGCCACTGGCCACAACCCTCTGAGCTCGGCCATCCAGCCACTTCTCAATCCACCTCACTGTCCACTCATCCAACCCACACTTCCTGAGCTTGCCTAGGAGGCTGTGATGGGAGACAGTGTCCAAAGCCTTGCTGAAGTCCAGGCAGACAACATCCACTGCTCTGCCCTCCTCTACCCAGCCAGTGTCATCCCATTGCAGAAGGCTGCCAGGTCAGTTAAGCATGATTTGCCTTTGGTGAATCCATGTTGACCACTCCTCATCACCACCTTGTCCTCCACACGCTTAGTGAGGACCTCCAGGATGAGCTGTTCCATCACCTCCCCAGGGATGGAGGTGAGGCTGACAGGCCTTAGTTTCCTGGCTCTTCCTTCTTGCCCTTTTTGAAGACTGGAGTGACGCTGGCTTTCTTCCAGTCCTCAGGCACCTCTCCTGATCTCCCTGACCTTTCCAAGATGATGGAGAGTGGCCTAGCGATAACATCCGCCAGCTCCCTCAGCACTCGTGGGTGCATCCCATCGGGGCCCATGGATTTGTGGCTGTCAGGTTTGCCCAAATGATCTCTAACCTGATCCTCCTCAACCAAGGGAAAGTCTTCCTTTCTCCAGATTTTCTGTCTTGTCCCCAGGGTCTGGGATTCCTGAGGGCTGGCCTTAGCAGTGAAGACTGAAGCAAAGGAGGCATTCAGCAACTCTGCCTTCTCTGTCTGATCACCCTGAGTTCTTTTTATTTTTGTTTGTTGAAATATGGAAGTGTATTTTCAGCATTTTCTTTATTGTATTTTATGATCAGCATAAAAAGAAAAGGCTAATCTCTTAGTCAGCCTGGATGAATAGAGTAGCCTTGGGGAAAAAATGCCTGCATAACTGCATTACGGCTTCCCTGTTCTGTGTGATATTATACCTGCCTGCGTGTGTGTCCAAGCCCATTCTTGTGACAGTTGTGCAAACCTGCCTCATCATATATTTAATAGATGCATATGTAATTTATGTATAGGTTAGCCAATATTTCTGTGTGCATATGCCCTTGCCTTTATTTCTGATATTTTTAATGGCAATTGCTTATATTTTAGAAACTTGCTGTCTACTAGAGATTAAGGAAAAGTGATGCATTCCTATCTTAACTCATACAGAACTCATGATTTGAGAAAGTGTAATTTTCTCAGGATTTTTAGTAATTTTTGAAATTGTTTGCGCTCTAGAATTGCATGCTGCTTGGAGGACGTAAGAACACAGATGTGCCATTGGAGGGGTATCTAGTAACGCCGATACAGAGAATATGCAAGTATCCCCTTCTTTTGAAGGTACTATGAGTTTGTTATCTAAAACTTTATATTTGGTATATAAAACTTGTTGCTAAGCATATTTCAGAACTGCAGGAAAAATCTCTTTACACAGTGAATAATCTCTTTATTAAATATTGGACCCAGACTTGCTCTCATTAAAGGCAGTGGCAATATTAAAAAGACCAAGGAGTTTGGCTGGGTGAAAATTATCAGCTCCTTTTTAAATCGAATAATAAGGTTTCCTCTTTATTGTTGAAAGGAAGCCAGCCATTTAAGTGAGTTTAATGAGGCTTATTTAAGTTGGATTTGACCATGCGCTTGCTTAAATGCTTTGGATTGCAGAGATGTTACCAACATGCTGTGCTTTGCTGATTCTAAGTTAACAGTAGCAAAATATAAGTGAAAAATATTTACAAAAATGATACATGAGAAACATTTTGGAGTAATACTGTAGGTGATTCTATGCATTTTTGTATTTGTATGTTTTTGCCTTTCTTGTCTTATTATAGCTTAAAACTTAATAAATGATGTTAATGTGCTGATAAGCATTAGATATTCCAACTTCTGAGTTATTAAAATTTTCTTATGTTAGGAAATTATAGAATCATCAGGAAAGTATTTATTTAAAATAAACTTGTACTTAACAGATTTGGATTTAGTATTGTTTATTGTTTAAAGTGTTGAGGAAAAAGCAGGAAGAGATTCTGCTTTAAAAGTTACTTGAAACCTGATTATTGGACAGTTATTTTTTATAATACATATGTGAATTTAGATGTGAAACTTTGCCAGCTATGAGGCATCTGCATTTCATTGCACTGACATACAAAATTAAAATAAACATATTAAAATAAAGATTTTTTTTAAAGACAAAATATAGTAACTGCAATGAGGTTTGAGTCATCCCACAACTCTGCTTTTACAGTTCCCTTGGCCTATTTAAAAATTATTTTTATATTCTATTTGTTGAATGGAGAATCTACAAACAAAACAAAGGAAATTGACTAATGAATTACAGTAGGGATACATTGAAATTAATTGTATGTAAAATAAATTTAAATACAAGGTGTGTTAAGGCTTTTAGCTATGGCTCCAGAGAGAATGTATCCAAGCTGTAGTCAGGATATACACTGAAGGTTGTCCTTAATCAATCCAGCTGTAAATGGCTAGTCGACAGTTTGAGATGGGAAACTGAGGGTGGCTTTATATGCATACTGGCAACTCCCACCTTCTTTTTTTTTTAGTGTGGCTACCATTAGCAGTCATCATCCAAAATCAATGAGTCACCTTATTGTTCACTGCTCTGATATATTATACTACATTGAACAGTAGTGTGGAGTTAAAGAAATATGTTTTTTGTCCTGAGTTGCAGGAAAGGATGGTGTCAATTTTGACATCAGTAAAACAATGGGAGTATTTTTTAAGTGGAATTGTCTTTGTTGAACAGTTCCATCCCATGGAATATGGAAACAGCCAAAGCTCAACATGAAGAAACATCTTTTTGGGGGGAGAAAAGTAGCTGAAATACAAACTTTTTTCTAAGTAGCATTTATTTTTATTGTTACTTATTTCTTCAAGTTTTACTAGGATGCAATAGTGGAGGCTCTACTACTTTTCCACCTAGTAAAAAAGTCTATTGACTCTTTGGTTTTGTATCGCAGTCAGTTTAAGCGTCCTGTAATGTATATTTAGAGATCAAAGACAGATTTCTTTTTTTACATGTCTATACAGGAGTTACTGAAGCGGACTCCAAGGAAACACAGTGACTATGCAGCATTAATGGAAGCCCTCCAAGCCATGAAAGCTGTCTGCTCCAACATAAATGAGGCCAAGAGACAAATGGAAAAATTAGAGTTTTTAGAAGAATGGCAGTCTCATGTTGAAGGATGGGAGGTAACAGGAGATGTGTTGCTTTGTATGTTGAGGAGGGAGTAATATAATTTCACAAGTATGAAATTTTCAAGAGGGGTCTATTACACTGCTTTTGTGATGCTGAGGTACTGGGACCTCCTGAATCCTTCTGTGAAATCACAGCTTTTATTTAAGATCTACTCAATAAACGACTATATAAATGGCGTTATCTGTTACTGAACACTGCTAGGTAGAATAGTGGACTTCCAGGAAAGATACCAAATATTTAGTGTTTGACTTATACATTGATGCAAATAGTCAATGTTCTGTGTGCACACATGTGCACGCATACGTGCATATGAATCACAATCTGACTGCTGCTCTCAGATTTTATTTCCTTAAATACTTGCTTAAGAACGTTTTTTCAATTTGCAAAAATATTTGATTATTCTCTAACAGTAGTAGACCTTCAGTTAATCACCTACACTGGCTACCTGCCAATTATTAACAACTTGACTGCTAGCTGCAAGATTTGTGACCAGCTTGTGGGCTGACAAACTTGATAGTAAGAGGATCATGTGTTTCTCATTCTAAAACGATGGCTAGTACAATCTCCAAAGCTCTGCTGCCAAATCCCATCCTAATCTTAGATGTGGGGAGGTAAGGACAGCTGATACGGATAGACAATGATTTTTCTGCTTTATAGAAGGCGTACTGGCTGGAGAAGGTACCAAGAAAAATATATTGGTTGTACATAGTCTACTAAGCTTGAGACCTGATCTTTCTGCTATTTAGAAGGAGATTACCTTCATATAGCAGGGAGAGAAGAAAGGGTTAGGGAGTTTGGTCGAACCGGGAATCGGACAGAGGTTTGAGAGGGACCTGTCTGAGCTTCATCTGACAGAGTTCCTCCAAAAGACTGAAGACTTTAAAAATTAGAGTATTGACTAGAATAATCAACTAAATATGCCTAATCAATTAGATATCAATTAGATATGCATAGTAATAGGTTAAAATGGCAGAAGTCAAAAACAGTTTTATACACAGATCTTTTCTCTCGCCCTTGTTTCTGTGGTGGTGGGTCTCTGATGCTAGGCAGTGCTTTCTCAGTGGCAGCAAGTTTTGTACAGTATCTACTGGTCCCCCAGAAATTTCCCTTTCTGTTTCCCTGTCCTCTATCCTTGTGCTGTAGGTTTCCAATTTTATGTTGTACTCCTCCTGCTTACTACACCTGCTGTTTCTTGAACCTGCTCTTCCTAAGCATGCCCTGTACATCTCCAGCAGAAGATTGTCTCCCCCTGCCTTCCAGAAGGGCTCAGCTGGAACAAGCCATGTTCTTAAAGGAGCGTTAAAATTATTCTGAGCAAAGAACCACCCAAAATTCCATCCATGACACTGTAGCATTATTTCCTCTTTTGCTCCAGATGAAGTTTCCTCATTGTAGACTTGTGCAAACTTTTGGTTTATTGTTAATTGAGGAGTATTGGAAGATTTGATTCATTTTAAACGTGGATTAAGCAACTAGTCCTACTTTAGTCAAAATTCTTCATGTTTTTTGACTGCGCTGTGGGATTTGAAATGTATTATTTAGGGTATTTTTCCTTTACTGTGCAGCAGAATTTAAAAAAACTAAGTCTTCCATTTCTCTAATTGGGGTAGGTATAATGTAGAGCAGAAGAATTCCTCTTATGCCAGAGTTCCAGGCACAATATTTTTCAGACTCCTTTGCTTCAGTACTGATACAGCACACCCCACAACAATTCACAGTGCCTCGATAGAAGGAATCTTAGCACATACAGAATTTTTATAGTTGCTGGTCTGTATTCAGACAAATCGTTCTCGTTTGGGTGTAATCATCAGTCTCAAAAAAAAAAAGAGCAGATAAATACAAATGATGAATGACATAGTGTACTTGTGCTATGATATTGTTTGCAGGATTTTGGAAAAAGAAAGACTACTTAGATAAAGTAAAGCTCTACGTGCTATAATTGAGAGGTCTAGTTGACCTTACACTTTCCAAAAGAAGAAAATATTCAAGGGCAGCTTGTTTAGACTAAGTAAAAACACAATTTTTTCTGTAATTAGCTTGAGCTTGCTGTCATCAGCTATTGTTTGGACAGATTAATACACATAGACATGAAAATGCATTAGGTGTGCTTGTGCAACAACTTTCATGGTAGAAGCACTAGCAAGTTAAATGCTTGTGTTACTAAACATTTCATGGCAAGAGAAACTTACTAAATCCTTGTGACATATCGCTGACTCTATTCTTTCTATTATTTTCACCTTTTCAATAAACTCATCTACTTTTATACTGATTGAAATTCTTATACGTGCTTTCAGCACCTTGAATGTTAAAGATATTTCCCATATGCATCTTAATGAACACAAACAATCAAGTAAAAGTGTTTTGGCATCCCTTCTACTTTGTGCTTAATAGAAAGAATGCAGGAATTTGATACAAGTTTTCTGTAGTTATATGAATACTGTACATTTGCAGTCCGTTGCATAGCTTGTTTATTGAAACCTCATCACAAATAGAAAAAGATAAGTGGGTTCATGACTGGACAGAGGGTAAAAGCTTAACTTAAAAATTTTGGAACTCTTGCTATAATCTTTTAATATTTCTTTGCATACAGTAGCATAGCTGTTATTTTGAAAATGGAGCAACTCAAGAACCTAATTTAAGAAAACTTGTTTAATGCAATGTATCAATTTAGAGATAAACGTTCTGTCTTGAACACTAGTCTTGTGCTATCGTTAGTGTAGCACTATGTCTAGAGTAGCAGAATCGCG